GGGCTTCCAGGAGGCTTTCTTATGGTAGGGAGGGTCTGAAGTGAAATTTAGGGTTGGAGCAGCTGTGTAGGCTACATTAGCATCTGCAGAAACTGACTTCAGAAGCATGTCAGGCAGCCTTGTAGCCTTCAGGATGCTGAAAAGGCAGCACAGGGCCAGTAGTTTCCCTGTGTTTCTCCCAGTACTAAGTGGACCCCAAAGAGGACTATAAAAGCTATGAAGGAGCCTGTCAGGAAAGCGACAAATATTGAACACCGATTCTCCCAGTTTGCAACTGTAATGGACCGATGTTTGTCCCACCCCAGCTCCTCCAGTTGGACGTTGGAATCCCCTCCCCCAGTGTGATGGCTTCAGGAAGTGTGGCCTCTGGGCCGTGACATCATGAGGGTGCAGCTCTCGAGTGGGGATTAGACTCTCACCAAGACTCCAGGGATACTGTATACCTAAAATGTACCAATAAACTCAATTAAAAAAAACAAAACAAAACTCCAGGGAGCTCTGTCTGCATGCATGGAACCAAGGGAGTCGCCGTCCATACCCTGGAAGAAATGACAACTCTTGACATCTTCACCTTGGACTTCCGGCCTCCAGAAGCATGAGAGACACATTTCTGTGGCTTTTAAGACTCCTATCGGCTACTTTGTCACAGCAGCTAAGCTAGAGGTTAGTTCATTCTCCAGTGTACCCTAACTTTTCTACCTCCTACATCCCATCAAAGCAGAGTCTGCGGCTACAGAATACAGGTCCGAGTCAGAGCCCTTCTTTCTGCCGTCCAGGTCTTCCTTCTGTGCTGCCATCACGGTCCTTCCTGTCTGTTCCCATGGTGGGCAGGGGCCGGGTCTGCTCAAGTCTTGTATCCCAGAGCACATTGCCCTGTCCTTCCCTGAGTTCTGAGGCAGCACCTGGGCTGGGATTTTATCTCGAGCCATTAACACCCGCTGGAAGAGCACTGATGCATCTGTAGGACCCACACGTCAAGGGGCAGTAGGGTGGTGACTAAGACCCTCTTGCCTGTCCTGGCTCGAGGCGGCAGGGCTCTCTCAGTACCGGGCAGCTCTAGGTGTCCAGGGTGCATTTGCAGGCTTGGGGCAGGGGAGAGAAACAAGTATGAAGCGTGATGCTCCTAGCACAGATGGAGAACAGGGTGCTGAGCACAGAGGTCACCCGACCCGGCCCACAGATTTCCTGAAGATGCAGAGCCTTGGGCTGGGGTCCTCTCCGCCCCTGGGTGAGACCAGGAGTGATGGCAGGGAAGACAATGGGTCCGAAGACCGAGCTCTGGCAACACTGGCAGTTGGAGGTCAGAATTGTGAGAAAAAAAGCAGCCAGAGGAATGGCCAGAAAGACAGGGAAAAACCCGGCACCTAGACAGTCCTGAAGTGCAGGGCACAGTGCTGTTATCACAAAGGATGCTGACACAGATAAGCACCCGGTCCAGACTTCCCACAGGCGATCTCAGGGACAGCTTTAGTGGACTGGATTTAACAGCAGGCGGAGGAGGAGAAATAGGAGAACGAAGAACAGTTTTGCAGGAGCTGACTAGAGACCTCAGACAGAATGGGCAGGGGTGTGGGCAGTCAGGGAGTAAAATCCAGTGTGTGATGTTACAGGAGAGGGGGATGCTGCAGAGGGCGGGTGTACAGAATGTGTTGAGTGCTGCCAAACCAAGAGACCAAAGCCCTTGCAGATGACATCTAATGGCCCAGGAGGAACTCGGCACTGAGGAGAAAACTCAAGGATCACACTGCAGGAAGGAGCTCCCACAGGGGCCCGGGCCCTGCGTACTTCAGGACAGTGCTGCTTCAGGACCCCATGAGGAGGAGCAGTGGAGATAGCACAGAAAGGGCAGACATGCCCACTGAAGGCTCCTTCTACTCAAGCCATGTGGCCAAGGACACAGCTACCTGCGTCCACTGAAGATCTGTGAGTCTGTCCAACAACGTGCTACTGCTGCTCTATGATCAGGGTGGACTGGGCACGTGGTCAGCTCCAAACTCCCGAGCTGCTGGGCCTTGATGATGCACACCCTTTAATGCCAGCATGCAGGAGGTGGGAGGATCACTGTGAGTCCGAGGCCAGGGTGCACTACATAGTGAGACCCCATGCATCTGTCACTTCAGTTCCAGGACACGTTCTGGTCCCAGGTGGACAAGGCAGAGTGCAGCCTGGGATTCAAGATGGTTCTGGGGCACATGGTGGAACACAGGCTGGGACACCACAGTCAATAGCTGGGTGCAGAAACTTACCCTGTGTAGCACAGCATGTTGCTCCTCCACCCTAGCGCTCTTTTTAACAGGCTGCTCACTTGACACAAATAAAACCAAAGAAACAGAACATTTACCCAAAATGAGGGAATTGTTAGCAAGGAAAAGCTTACATCAAACTTCTAGCTTTGCCTGCTCTTAGCAGACTTAGGGATCACTACATTTGGAGGCCACACAGCTGCGAAGTACATCAGTAATTTCCCACTGGTTCTGCTGTGGGTAACTGATGTATGGGTTACGATGGTGACAGCTGCCTAGATTACTGCTCAAGGACCTGAGGCCACTCTGGCTAGGGACTTGGGCTCCACTTGGGCCTACGAGTATGGGTGACTGGAACAGGCTAAAAGGCTTGACATCCTTGGTTTCATACTGTGTCCATCTCCTCTGCTGTCCCATAAGCTCTGCGCTCTGTGTGGAAGCAGTTTTTCTGTCTCCTCTTTTTCCCATCCCAACCATGTTCCTTTAGCAGCTGTAGCAACCCAAGCCCCAAAGAATGTTCAGCACTACTGTAAAACCTACATGCACAAGGCTGGGATGTTCTGTGCAGAACAATGGTGCCAACAACACAAAAACTTAACAGCTTCTAGGACATGCTGACCACAGACAGATGGTGGGCCAAGTCTTGCATAAGAAGAAACATCTGCAACCACTTCCTTGTTTCCTAGACTTCAGCCTGCCCCGGGAAATCAACACAAGCGGGCTTCTCCCTTTGGAAACCTGGGTCTCCAGGTCAAGACTGGCTCCTTCAGATGTGGTCCCCTCCCCCAGTAAAGAGCCTGCCTGCGCATGGGATGGTGGTACTGGCACAGTCTCATCTCACTACTTCTATACCCAAGATCCTGACTTCCAGTGCCAGTGGGAAATAGTTCCTGTCACTCCAGTTCAGTTCTTTCTTTTCGAGGGACTCACTTTTTGGCCTTCATGTTTCTGCCTCTAATTCCTCCTTCTAGAGTTAACATCTCCCTTTTTTGGAAACTGTCGTCCAACCCTCTGACCTGCTTACTGCCATGGCCTATCACCATTTCTAGGTGACGACTGTTTCATTAATCAGGCCAAGCTCCCCACTTGGCAGACAAAAACACAAGGATGAAATGGACAGAGCAACTGAGCCTTGGGCTGGTTACCTGAAAAACAAAGGGCTGCTCTGCTATGTAGAGAACCCTGATCAGAGCCCTTCTACTTATAAATGTATAACTGTGCCAGGCATGGTGGTGCACACCTGTGATCCCAGCCCTCAGGACAAGGCAAGAGGTTCACCAAGAGTTTGAGGCCTGCTTGGGGTACATAGCAAGACCCTGTCTCTAAATAAATAAACAAATAAGTGAACAAACAAATAAATGAATAAATGGATGAATGAATGTACAGCTGACAGTCATTAATGGAACTCAAATCTCTCCAGTTTTGGAGTCTTCATCTTTTTGATTTGTTTTTGCAGTACTGGGGATTGAACTGAAGGCCTCCGGACTGAGCCACATCCCAGCCCCACTTTTTATTGTGAGACAGAATCTCCCTAAGTTGCTGAATCACACAGGATGGGCTCAAACTTGTAATCCTCCTGCTTCAGTCTCCCAAGTGCAGTCTTAATCTTTAAGCCCCTATTTGTCAATTACTGCTCTCTAAGTGCCCTGTTTCCACTCCCTTCCCCTCCCCTCTCCAAATTACCAGACTGTGTTTTTTCCTTCATATGCCAAAAGACAAGCAGAGAATATTCTACCTGCACCAGATACTCAATAAACATTGAGTAACTTATCTGAGACCATACCAGAGTAGTTGTCCTGCAAAGCTGCACTATTTACAAATTTAATTTTGATCCTGTTCATGGCTGACTGTACAGCAGGAGTCCACAACTTACAGCATGCAGATCAAATCAATCCATGAGCTAAAAATCTTTTTAAAAAGACCAAAACAAAACAAAACAAAAAACAAAGAAAAAGCAAAACCAAAAGAGTACAGAGATCAGATACGGTCAGTGAAGTCTGAAATAGGACTTTGTCTTTGTCACTTTCTCACTGCTGGGACTCAATGCCCAACACTAACAAATTAAAGGAGAGGTTTATTTTAGCTCGTAATCATTGCAGAGGTTTCAGCCAGCAGTTGGCTGGCTCCAGGGCAGAGTGGGATGGTGGGTGGCAAGGTAGAAGTTGCCCAGGGCAAGTTGCTCTTGGCAGGGCAGCCAGAAGCCAAGCACGAAGGGAGGAGCTGGGAAGGGAGACAGACAGACAGGTCTCTCCCCCAGGCCCAACGAGTCTGCTGTCCGTCCCCATCCCAAGCCCACCTCTGGGTACCTGAGGCTTTGGTGGGACACCAGATGTAAACCATTGCAAGAACACAAGCCATGGGTGGAGGCACAATGAGATGACCCCAGGGCTCTTAGAAACCCGGAAGCCAGAGGTGTCTTTATCCTATTAATTCGGTAACTAAACTCTGGGTGACTGATTTTGTATATCGACCCCAGGGAATCTGCCAGCTTTTCAGACTGGGGTGGCTGTCTGCCCCCTTGCCATGCTCATTTCCAATGAAGAAGAATAAGTAAAGCAACAGTAACAGCTACAGGTTATGAGTGATAAAAAGGTGTTTAATGTCCAACTGCCAAGTCAAGCTCACAAAGAAATTTCCTTAAATTTAATAAAGATGCTAAAAATGTTATGTGCTGTTTTTAATATTTACAATTTCATTTTTACAAAGTTCTATACATAAAAATAGATATACAGAAACAAACCCCGTCAACTGTCTGCATCAGTAATCCTCACTGGTGGGCTCACCGTTTATAAGGAAGACATCATTCAACACGACTTGTCACAGAGACTGTCCCACAGCCAACGGCTTCTAGTGTCAAGAGAGGCCTCTGTCTACCAGCGACGCCTGTGACCACTAGCTCTAAATGGAGTGTGAGTGAGGGGCAGTGCTGACCACCCCTGCTCACCGGAGGCCACGGTTAAGAAGGCCTCCCCTTGGCTCGTCACTGTGAAAAGCGTGCGTAAGGCAATTGAGCTGAGGGTTCAGGTTCACCTTGCTAGTGCCAAAAGAGACACTAACAAGGAGCTTAGCCTCACCCACCGGACGACGGGCCTCTGCGTCCAGGTCTCCAGGAGCAGGCTCCGCCTCCTTCACCCGTCAAAGGGTTGTAACCTGGGACAACAGAAAGGAAGCAAAACTATAGTCAGGAGCCTGATATGCAAAGCACTGCAAAGATAAAGTCTGTTCTCATGGATGCTTTCAAAATACCTTTTTTGCCTTCCTAAAAAGTGTAAAAATTACTTTCTATAGTGTTTGAATTGACTTTCTGGAAGGGAGGAAGGATGCCATTCGGCTTCTAACTCCTAACTCACCAAAACATGTAAAAAACAGCCCCAAACCCTCTCAGAGCTGGGCTGGGGAGTGCATGCCTGGAATCACAGCACTGAGGATGCTGAGGAAGGAGGAACGCCACGGTCAAGCCCAACATGGCTACAGAGATCAAGGCCACCTGGACCTTGTCTCAAACAGCAAGCAGACAAAACCCTGTTACGATGACGGGGCTGAAGTACAGAAAGTTCCAACTGCAGCGCATACAAAAGAAATACATGCTCAAATAAGGCCGTTCAAGCTATAGAGAACAGATTTTTAAAAACCAAAGCACAAGCCGCCACTTCTCGCAGTCAGAACCGGGTCACCGTGTCCATCCTCCCACTCTCCCTCCTCAGTCAGCTCCCCTGCTGGCTGGAATGCTCCGGGTCTACCGCCCGCCAGACCTAAGTGAGTTGCTTCTGCTCCTTACTTGCTGTGGAATCTGCGGGCAATATATCTCTGTGCCTCAGTGTCCTTACTTGTAAAAACAGCTTGGTCAAAGGCCCTGGAGCCGGGCCTGTGGACACCAAAGGAGGCTGTGTACACGGGCGTGTCATCCATTTTCTCCAATTCCACTCCTCTCTTAAACGTCTCCACTATGTGTCTGAGAATAGGTTTCCAGCCTCGGGAGGTTCTCAAAGAGCCATTTCCCTCCAGCCAGACAGCCAGGTTTGGGTTCTGGATTAGAGCTCAGCCCTAAGCCAAGTCTGTAGCCACGCTGCCTAAACCCACTTCTTAGCCGCCCCTCATCGCCCGAGGTGTCATCCCAGAGCCAGGTCCAGAGTGCTTACCTGTGATACCTGCGCTCTGGGAGGCCGAGAGAGAAATCAAAAGTTTGAGCCTCTCCTGAGCAACTTAGTAAGACTCTGTCTTAAAATAAAAAATAATAAAAAAAGGGATGTGGATGTAGCTTGTTAAGAAGGCCTAGGGCTCAATTCCTACTACTGCTAAACAAAAACAAAAGCAAAAACTAAGACATCACCCAGGCCCTCACCATGCCCCTGTCCTCCATGGAGGAAACGAGGCCCTCAGTGAACAGTGTTCTGGCAGGTTTGCTCTCTCCTCAGCCCTGACGGGGCCCCTCACCAGAATCACCAAGTATTACTGATCTCCACTTCTCAGCCCCATCTTCCCAAACAGCTCTGACCCACCTCAAGCACAGAATGCAGACAGACGCCGCAGTGTCGCCCAGGCTGTCTGGACTGGGTGGTAGGCAGGAAAAGCTCAGGTGAACATCTGCATGTATCCTTGGGAGTTACTGACAGGACCCACCCGGGGTCCCAGCCCTGCCACGCCTCTGCCAGAGGGCAGACTCTGCTCCCTGGAACTCCCTGCTCACAGCCACAGTGAGATGGAGATCGGGAGGGAATATTCCACCCAAGTGCAGTCAACCTCGCTGCTCAAGGGGGCCTAGGTGGCACTCTGCCTGATTTACACTGAAACGAAGAAAGAGCACCTTGCTTTACTGAGACTCTAAACGCCTGACATCACTGGGTGCTTACCACTTCCCCTCAAGGGCTTCCTGTCAGATTTCCGCTTCGGGATGACAGATGAAGTGGAAGGCCCAGGACTGTCATCCTCCTGTTTAGAAGATAAACAAGGTTAACCCTTTGGTGCCTAGTGATCCATCTCTGGAATGCCCAGAACAATGAAACATAAGGAAATGTTCTTAAATTCTTGTTCCTTTTCTAGTAATATATATGACTTTCCTGCAAAACTTCAAGAAACATCAATCTTTGGCACAGAGTCATTCAGAATCAATTACAATGCTTTACTTCAGCCTGGGGGTAGAACCTGGTGCCAGAGTGTTTGACTACCATGTGGAAGATCCTGCCCATCTTCAACACCCAGCACCAGAAACAAAACAAAACAAAATTCTACTAGACAAATCTTCATACACTGGAAAATGTCTGCTAGTCAAACTGGTTACCTGAGGTTTTCTTGCATTTTGCTTGTAACTTTTGCCTTCCTGCATGCTGTCCCACATTTCAATCTTCTGTCTTCTTTTCTCTTCTTCAAGCTGAGAAAGAATCACAAGTTATACAGAAAGAACTCATTCACTGCCACCTTTCTCCAAGAAAATGCTAATTCTGAGAATTTTTACTTTAAACATCTTTCAAAAACCTTTGCCCGACTGCCTGGACTCTGGGTGGGCAGCAGGAGATGGGTGAGGGCGCGGGGCCAGCCGCCGGGGCTCTGCCGGGGGAAGTGACTCAGGACCCATGGAGGAAGGGCCCACAGGAGACTGGGCGGGAGGAACCTGGGGAATGGGTGACTCTGAGCAGAGAGCTGGGGACAGGACTCCCCCAGACCCGGCGGAACAGTGTCCTGACATCTGGGCCCGGCGGGGAGATCGGCATCCTGCCCCTGGGGAGTAGGGAGGAGCCGAGTCCTCAGCTGTGCAAACCCGAGGAGGTCCCACGAGGCCCTCCGGAGAGGGGTGGCCAGGCCCCCACTGTGCGGGTCCTGCCAGCCTGCCCGGAGCCCAATGCAGAAACCTGCTGCAACAAAGAGGCGACCGTGGGTGCCCCTAGCAGCCGGCAGCGGTGGAGTGGGTGGGCGGGCGAAAGGGAGGGGAGGGGTGGCAGACGCCAGGCCAACTCGTGGGAAGACTGCGCGGCAGCAGAAGTTCTTTGCTGCAGCCATCTGGGCAGAGTGAGGACGTCGCTGCTGCAGCCACTACACTCCTGGCCCCTTGGCCTCCGCCGATTTGCCTTAAACTCCCTAAAATCTCCATAGCCCTGGTTCCCACGGCAGCCCTCCGTAAGCGACTGAAACGGTGGGCATCAGAGATTGGCAGCCCTTTTAGAAATAACAACTGCTGTCTTGATAAGGAGACAGAAAAGTATCAACCAGCCAACAATCCCCAAAAGAGTTATGGTCTGAGGACGTTTTTGTGCCCAGACATAGCAGCTATGTCCTGCAGCTGCTAAACAACTGAAAAGAACGGGCTTCCTCTGACTGCTGCACTGCAATTGATGACAGTCACTTCCAAGCACACAAAGCCGTGCCAGCTGCCTGAAGCTCCTATTTCAGAATGTTCTTCATGCACCATGAGCATAGTACTGCACAACTGAATCTCAGCAACACGAAAATCAGCGCTGGGTGTTTTGATCTCATTCTGCAGTTTATGTATTTAGGAAAAATCATGACAGCTCCTCCAGGTTTGAGCAGCTTAAAGTGGCAGTGAATTACCTACAGCTGTACAATGTTCCGACTGCTCAGAAGACACACAAGATGCAGACGGTTCTAGTTCAAATGTACCTCTTCTGCTTCTAGCAAACAGAACACCAGAATGGTATCGGGATAAGAATGTATGAAGACACGGTGGTAGAAATGGCAGTGAAGCCAAAAGGTGGTGTGCAGAGCCAAGTTCAACAGTAAACACACCTCATAATAGAGCCAGATGAAGAATCTTTACAATTAAGTAATTTTCCCAAAATACTATTTGATGTATGTAAAAAAAGCTGCGTCCAAATTATCTGCTCCAAAAGAAAGGGTGTCACGACGCTTTGGATGGAGTTTTACCTGTGACAGCTGTGGATCTGGCTGTGAAAAATAATCAGATGAACACGTACTGACCTGTACTAACAGACATTCGTACCAAAACACAAGACCTCACTACCGAATAGTAGAGATTAGAGATGCAAAAGACAGTAACATCAAAGCTGCGTTTGGCGAAGAGGGTTCGTCTAAAACATTTTCTGCACAGGCAGACAAATACAGAGGAGACACAAGCCAAGCTCCAGACAATGCTGCTTCAGCCACTGGAAGCAGAAAAAGTAGCACAGTGGAGTCTGAACCAGCCAGTGAAGGAAAAAGCAGGGCTGCAAGGAGGAAAAGAATCATCATTAAGATGAACCTGAAGATACGCCTACAGATGAGCTTGAAGGCTTTCATATTATTAAAGTTACTGACAAAGACTGCAACGAACCCACTCATAACAATGAATTAGAAGACGAACCCGAAGAGCCACTTCATAGATTTTATGTCAGTGAAGATGTTGGCATTTTAAAAGTGGTAGGAAAACTCTAAAACCTCGGATGTCAATAAATTTTGATGAAAGAGGTACTTTAGAAAATCTAAGGCCCCCTAACAATGGCAGTCTGGTATAGGCCAGTGAAAATGCCTTGTGAGCTGTGGACTCACAATAACCTAGACAAGCACATCGAGAACATCTGTGTGTGAGGTAAATGTGGACAGATCCTTGTCAAGGGTCAGCAGCTTCAGGAACAGGCGCCGAGATGTGGAGAACCCCAAGATCTGGCAGTGAATGGGCTAGGAAACACCGAGAAGATGGAGATGGAAGAAAACGCCGATGAACAGTCTGAAGTAAGAGATACGTTTATTGAAATGCTGGATGATTTTAGGGACAGTCATTACCAAATAAACTGTATCAAAAAAAACCCAAAAAAACCCCAAACAAACAAAAAACCAAAACCTTTGCGCACATTGTCTTCCTGTTTTGTACGCTGTTAAAGAAGGCAAGATATGTCTGGGGAAAGAGTGCAGATCCTGCTCTTCTGTAACCTGCCCTATCCCACACCTTCATCACGGCAGAACTCCAGGCGTGCGGTGCTGATCCCGCACATGAATGCTCCCCACTGAGCTACACTCAGCGCAGCAGCAGGAAGAACTTAACCTCGATGCCTTAGATGAGCAGAAGGGAGCGGATTTCAGGGCTCTGGCAAGTCAAGCAGTATGGAAAGGTATGGAAAACCATCTCAGAAAATTATACTGATCAGTAAGCACCCAAGAAAGCTCCTAGCAGCACAGGCCCTCCCTATGCAGGAAGGAAATGGCTTTTCTTCCAACAGCCAAGTGGCACAACTAACCTGTACCCCAGGTGCATGTGAACCTCTCATTTCCAGTGGAATCCACACCCAAAGTACAGTTCACTCTGGCTCCAATTACACTGTGGTATCCAAGGACAGGTGACAAGACGCCTTAAACAGCACTGCCTAGGAAGTTTCTCCCTGGCACTTAAGCCCATCACTACTGAAACCAAATGTCTGTCACATCACAGTGTCTGCAAGTACAGGAGGTGAGAAGAAACCAATCTGCCCTTGACATGAAAGATGTTTCATTCTTCTCCCTGGCCATCAAGAACATTGCGGAGCCAGGGATTTAGCTCAGTGCTACCGACCCCTGCCTGGCAAGTTCGAGGTCCAGCGTTTGATCCCCAGTACCAAAAAAAAAAAAACAACAACCAAAAAACAAAATATCCCAGCACTCAGGAGGCTTAAGCAAGAAGGTTGCCAAGTTCAAAGCCAGCCTGAACTGCACAGTGAGGTGGGATTCACAAGTGAAAATCAGTAATGTTTTATGATTCTAGCAAGCAGGCCCAGGTCAGTGCGAAGGAGAGCACAAACACACTAGAACAGTTTGTCTCAAAAAGAAAACAAAAAACTTGTACCCAGTCCCTCTTCCAATTTTAGGAGGCTTGCACTACAATTTTGTTTTTGTTTTGTTTTTTGGAAGTACTGGGATTTGAGACCAGGACCTGTGGCACTGAGTTACATCCCCAGCCCTTTTTTTAATACGCTGCCAGACTAAGCTTGGATTTATAAGCCCGCTGCCTCAGCCACGCAAAGTGCTAGGTTTAAAGGCAGTGCCATCACATCCCATACTCACACCTCAATTCTGAAAATCTTTTTCAGTTTTTCTTTTGTGGTACTGGGACTGAACCCAGGCCCTTCACAATGAACTACATTCTCAGCCCTTTGCATTTTATTTGGAGACAGGCTCATGTTGCCCAGGCTGGTCTGGAATCTGGGACTCCTCCTGCCTCAGCCTCCTTGAGTGCTAGGATCATAGGTATGTACCACCATGACTGGCTTTGAAGTAATCTTTTAAGACTTTTCAGCTACAACAACAAACCAAATAATCAAGCATTGTTACTAACACACACAGCCTCAGGCTCTGAAGTCTTTGAGTAATTATTAATGGGCGGGCTGCAGTGTAGCTCACTGGCAGAATGCTTGCTGAGCTTGGGTAAGGCCCTGGGTTTGATCTCCAGCACTGAAATCAACAACAACAAAAAAACCCAACTAAAATAGAACTGTTCAAAATGATGTATGCTTCTATTTCTAACAAAGGGAACCACACCTGTGCACATACACGGGTAACATATTTCTGAAAAAACAAAAACAAAAACAAAAACTTAACACTGCACAGGATGCTTAGGTATTAAAAGTGAGGGAGCAAGGATAGAGACTTTGTTTCCATGGTGCGAGACTTTTATGTCACAATTTAATCACAAATGTTAAGTCATCATGTACGTTTTAGGTTGGTAACTGAACAAGATGGGCAGCTGACACAGGCACTCAGGCTGCTGGGACAGGTGGCTGGGGAGGGGAGGGGCCCTGTTCTGTGCTTTCCTTCTGGGCCCCAGCCAAGCTGGGCAGAGCGGGCAGAAGGATGACCTCGCAGAAACTAGAGGAGTCTCAGGAGGCTCTCATCCCTGGAAACGCCAGAGACGCAGGCGAGATCCGCACTGTGACCAAGTTCCCTGCTGCCCTACAGCTGACAGAGGCTTCCTTATGAGGGGGCGACGAGGCCTGGAAATCTCTGGAATAAAACCAGAAAGCAGAGGTCGTTTCAGTACTCAGGTCAGCTCAAAGTTAGTGACTTTGCTCCTGAAGAGTGGCATGATCCACCTAGCTACTATGGCAGTCCTTGGTTCATTCTTTCCCCTTGTCCAACCAAACTGCCTGGGAAAAAAAATCTTTCGCATTGGGCACGGTGGTGCTCGCCTGTAGTCCAGGTACTTCGGAGGCTGAGAAGGGAGGATCACCGCAAGTATGAGACCAGCCTGGGCTACACATTGAGTTCAAAGCCAGCCTGAACTACATAGCGAGACCTGCCTCCAAAAAAAAAAGAAAATAAATCCCTCCCAACTCCACACCTATCAGCACAACCCTGGCCTGAGCCCTCTGCTGCCTTCCCCTGGCGCTCCTTCAACCCACTAGCATGGGCCCTGACACCACAACAAAGCTACCGTGTCTTCCGTGTGTCCAGTGCCTCAGAGCTGGACACTCCGTCTTGTTGGATGACACTGCTGCCAGAGACCTAGAGCAGGGCTGAGGATGTAGCTCAGTGGCACAGAACCTGCCTGTCACGTGTGAGGCCCTCGTCCCACCCTGAGCGCTTCAATAACAGGCACAAGCACTTACACTCACACGCACCGTGACCCCAGTCTGTCCCTGCTGTGCTCTGGACCTTTCACCGCAGTATTACATTCACACATCCATCCTTCTCTAGGAACAGTGTATTTGCTTAATGTCACCAGCACCTAGGTAGTAGGCCCTGAAACACTTGTTAGCTCTACTGGGATAGGACCTGTCCTAGAAGTTTAAGAATAATACACACACGCTACCACCCACTGAATTTCCTCAGACCACGCAAAATAAAACCACCACATACCTGTCTTAGTTTTTCCTTATGCTTTTCAACTTGTGCATTTAGTTCTTCTTGCATTTTTAAACGAGCAGCTGCTAGAGCCTCCTGTCGTTTAACAACAACATCAGGTTCTAAAATGAGAAAAAAATGAAGTAATGTACCTTGTACAAGATAACTCTTTGAATAGCTCCACTGTAAGTATAAAGACGTATAGATGTTAGACAAAGAAAAATGTTTTTGTGTAACTTAACCACCTAAGCTATGCTTTTTACCTGTAAATAGCCACATCACCAAAAACATGTTAGAAATGCAGATTTCTGGGTTAAGTCTAGCAACTCTAATTCAGAAAGTGTGGGACAGTGGCGCTGGGACTGAAATGTAAGGGTTTGAGGGCCACGGTGAGACTCCATTGAGCAATGTGGACACCTCTCACACTCAGTCTCAGGTTGATCTGAATTTCAAAAGAAAAGCATGTAAAAGTAAAGTTTTCTGAATTTTTAGCCATTGAGTGATTAGGCCAGATTTATGTAAGAGGTAAGGACTTTAGATATTTTATCCTTGTTTGGAGTAACAAAGAAAAATCTTTGCAACTAGCATTAAAATTATAACTTTAATTTATACTTTTATCTGGTGTGTAAAAAAAGCTGTCCACCCTAATCTCAGTATATAGTGATTCAGATATATGACAATTTATATTTGTTTAATTATGCTGCTAGTCTCAATACATTTAACATTCTTTGGGGGGTGTGGTACATGCTCACAGAAAGTATAGTTAGTGGAAAGGCTGCTTTTGAGAGGGAATTTCTTTAAACAGACAATGGTTATTGGAAACCAGGTTTGATAAGTTTGTGAAAATTCAAAACGAAGCTTGTAAGAAGGCTGAGTTTATGGTCACAATATTTCCACAGATAATTCCGTAAGTAGACCCGCAAGTACAGAGAAGCTGCTAAGTTTTCATTTTGAGCCATGTAAAATTTAAAAAAATTAATTTTAATTTAATTAAAATTAAAGATATGCTTTAGGTGTGCCACACACCATCCTGTGAGCTTTCCATCTCATTAAAATCCCTGATACAAACAAATCTTGCACTGGAACGGCAGGGCATACATGCAATTTCAGCAGTCTGGGAGGCTAAAGGAGAGGACCACAGGTTCAAGCCCTGCTTGGGCAATTTTAGAGATACTTATCTCAGAATAAAACGCAAAAAATCAGGCCAGGGATTTAGCTCAGTAAAAAATGAGTTGAGGTAAAATGGTAGATAAATAGGAAGTGGGGAAGAGATTCAGATGGATCCTCAAGTTACCTATTCATTTGTTTCAAAAACATTTTAATATATATGCTAATTTAGTTCATTTAGACAATTTCTTAGTTCACTGAAGTTTTGTGCTAACATGTTTATTTTGAAGATAGCAATACACAGTGTATTAACTATTGTTTTTCCTCATTATTGTGTTATAAAATCTTTTTTCATAAAAAATAAAAAACCAGGCTAGGGATGTAGCTCAGTCCAAAGGCCCTGAGTTTGATCTCCAGTACCACCAAAAATAAAAATAAAAATTTCACATGCACCAGAACCAACTCCAGATGCACAAAAGGCACTTCTATACAATAAGCATCATATACTCATTATTCTTTGGGGTTTTTTTTTGTTTTTTGGAGACAGGGTCTTGCTGCATAGAACAGAGTGGCCTTGAACTTACTATGTAGTCCTCAAACTCCTGGTAATGCTTCCGTCTCAGCCAGCCTCACACACTCATTACTATTAACAGGCTAACTTTTAAATATCAAAAGCAGTAGGTGTAAATAACTGTCTCATGTCTGTTACCAGGCACTAACCTACAGCAGCAGCCTCAGCTCGGTCTAGCTGCCTCTGCCTCAAGGCCCTCAGCCGGATGTAAAGCTTCTGAACGACCACGTAGAGGAGGATACAGCTGAAGAGAATGTACCAGCCATAGGTGGCCAGCAGCGAGCCCACTGAAAAGAAGAAAACAATTAAGACTTAAAAAATGTCATTTTTCCATAAAACTCCGCATGGACAAGTGTAGCTCTTCCATGTAGTTAAGACAGGGGAAGAAACTCATATCTGACAATTCGAGAATCAATGGGCAGGGAGACTTCAAACAACCGCGGAGTCAGAGTGGGGCAGATCCGGAGGGCGCAGCACACAGCGGCCGGGCTTTGAAGGATGAAGATCTCATCCAACCCAGAAAGGCAAGGCCTTTCAGACCTAGGGACTCACACACAAAAGACAGAGCGGAGGTTCAGGACTGTGATGGGAGGGGGCGAGGGGTCACCGGGGACCCGGCTAGGGCCGAGAGATTCCGGCAACTGCAAGAAGGGCTCGCTGAGCAAAGTAAAGGAACCCAGCAAACGAGGTCGGCTTCCCACAGCCTCGACTCGAGATTCGGGCCCGCAGTCCAAGCCTGCGCGCAGTGTCAACGCCCTTCTGCCGGCCAGGCCTCCCCGGCCCAAGCTGGGCGTGGAGAGCAGGACCCACCCAACATGGCGGCGCTCGGGGAGCCGGGGGCGCGCACCCCACTGCCCCGTGGCCCGCGGCGACTCACCTGTGACGTGCAAGAAGCGGAGCCCCTCTGTCTCCAGGGCCGGCCGCGCGGACAGCAGCTCCCCATCCCGCTCCATGGAAGCCACGGCCGCCCGCACTGCAGCGTCACCTAAAGTGCACATCCGGCCCTTCTCTACGTACACGTGGCGCTCCCGGACACGGCCATCCTGACCAATCGCAGCTCGATCCTGCCCAGACACTTGGCCAATCACAGGGTGGGTGTGGCCAAGGGGCAGGGCGGGAGAGGCCGAGGCGGAGGCGTGGGTTTACTCCCTCTGGCCTGGGCAGGTGCTGACCTCGGTGAAGGGGAGTAACTATCCTCTTTCACCATGTAATTACTGAATTTTTGTGATCGTGGGACACAGAGGTCAAGGATGCTAGGGCCTGGGCCGCCCTGAGATGGAGTTTACATCCACACTGTTGCCCCATGCCTATTGGCCAATGGGGCGATTGCAAGCCAGGAAAGGCATCAGCTAAAATCCGGCCTCACACAGGTGTAAATGAGCAATTTCCTACACTACTTTTAGGCCAAGAGTCTCCACTGACTCTCAAGGACTGTACACGGTCCTCATCAAGGGCTCCCAGTACTGTCTTCAGAAAACAATAAAAGAGAAGATTGCTATGGTACCTGGAACTCAAGCAGCTTAATCCCCAAAATTTTAGGTAATGGTATTAGGAAATTGTAAACTTAATCTGACTAGGTGCTTAGAGGCAGTACAGCCTTTGGGAAATAATTAGATTAGATTAGATAATTAGGATGGAGCCCTCAAAGAGATACCATTGATAAAGATAGAATCTCGGCTGCCAGTTACAGCCAACATGGGCTCTTGCCAGAGCCTGCCTCATGCTATTTGACTCTCAGCCTCCAAAATGGAACTAAATAGGCTTCTTTATTTCATAAAGTTAGCCTGACTTGGGTATTTTGTTATAGTAATAGCAAATACAGAGATTCCTATTGGAGGACTGGAGCTCACGGATCATCGCAAGAATATCTTGAAACTTCTTTAACAGCCATTTTGTAAATGGATTCAATCAAATCAGGACATTGAGGACTGGTCAAATAATACTGTGACGATAACTGTCAATTTGATGAGTTTACAAAGAAGTTTTATTTCCTTGATAATTTTCTTCTTATTTTCAAAAACAACGAATACACGCCACTGCTCCTTTTCAGTGTGTACTGGGGATTGAACTCGGCTTGACACATGGTAGCGAAGCACTTTACCGCTGGGCTATGTTCCCAGCCATCTTATTTTGATAGGGTCTCCCTAAAGTTGCCCAGACTGGCCTATTTGTGACCCATCTACCTCAGCTTTGAGTAGCTGTGATTACAAATGTGAGCCATTGTGCCTGGCTAGTCACTCCTTTTATAAATTTTTTTTTTTTTTTTTTTTTTTTTGTCCTGGAGTTTCACCTCAGGGACTCATTTGCTCTACTATAGAGCTACATCTTTAGCTCCAACTATGCTTTGCTTTAAGGTGCCTTCTTGCTTGCTCTGCCATCTTGTAGGAATTCAATGTGATTTCTTGGGATTATATTTCCAATGCTTGGTCTGAGAGCAGCTTTAAATGTAAACTGCATGCAAATGATAAACTAGTCAGGATGAGCAGGGTTGCCTCACCACTATTAGCTGTCTAGCACATTAGTATACTGTGCTAGGATCACTGTTTATGGAAGCAGTTGTTTAGGGCCTCTCCTTTCTCTCAAGGAGTAGAAAAGGGATCACAGTACAATTTTTCAATGCTTTGGGAGCAGTTTTTTTGTTTTGTTTTTGACAGGGTATCGCTATGTAGTTCAGGCAGGCCTTAAACTCGTGATCCTCCTGCCTCCGCCTCCCAAATGTTGGCATCACTGCTGTGTGCCATCATGCCAAGTGGGAGCAGTTTTGTTTTTATATATACTTAACAGGATTTATTACCTGGGTTGAAAAGCTAATGTTTAACAGCTCCCTGCCTTAATAAGAGGTTTCAGATTAGACATGAAAGCTTCCAGTATGTTACAATGAATACCTTTTTAGAGTTCATGGTGTAGCTCAGGAATTATAGTAGCTATGGGATGATTTACACTGCAGATTTGCTGTTGCTTTCGTGCCATTATCAATGAATTAACATAAAAATGCCAAAATGCTACATGCGGTTAAATGGGGGAAGAGAGTTTCCTTTATTTGCTGGTTTCCATCCTGCTCTGTAATGTCTTATAATCATTTAGACAGTGAATTGTGACATTTAATTTCTCATTTTAAAAAGAATGGGCTTCAAATATAGCTGACGTAAAGTGCTTGCCTCCCATCCAATAGGGTCTTAGGTTTGAACACACACACATACACACACACACACAATCCTTTCCACTCAGGACTTTGCAATATAAAAGGGGAACTAGCATCAATTCATGAAAATAATTTGCTTTAAACAAATACAAAAAAGCACCTTTGTTTACTATTGGGAACTACAGTGTGTGCATGTGTACCAGGATGAACCAAGTACAGTGAACTGAGCGGTGAATTTCCATTTCACTTCCTAGCACAGAGCCCTTCGCGTTTCACTGGTAGAAGCTTTTCATTCTTCCTCACCAGGCTTATGTTACCTTTGTCCCCTTAGTCAGATGACATTTAGCTTATCTAGAACTGTCAGGTTATTCTAGCAATTTGCTCAATACCATTGCTCAGATGTCATTTGTAAAAATAAGACAAAGGTGGACAGTAACCTGAATGTCTGTCATTGACCATGTAGACGAAACTGATTGTCCCCAATTAGTCACACCTGAACTTTCCATCTGGCCAGGTGGCTTGCTTCGCTTAATGCCAAGTGTGCAGAATAAACGGAGGTTGTCAGCAGGCGGGGGTTGTAGTTCTGTAGCACTGGCTTAGTGTGCACAAGGACCTGAGTCTGATCCCTACCATGACAGAAACAATTTTTAAAAAAAATATATTGCAATTTTCAGTGGCTACTGGTAAGCTGCTCTCACCTTTTCACAGAAGTATATGCAACAAGATGGGATTAAGCGTATGAGCAGCTAAAGGAGATCAGTGATGGTAAAAGACCAATAGCATTTCTTAAACAAGAGTAACCCCAAGGCCCTATCCCTTCAACTGACATTCTTGTAGACGCCCAAAGCAACCTTTAAATGCTATTAATCATGTACATACATTAGATAAAATCACTCCTAAATTTATGGATCTTAGACCCTCAAAACCAGGGCATTTATCAGTTGTGTATGAACACTACAATACTGAAATCACTGTCTTATTCTTGTGGGTATAACTGTCACTGGCACATAATTTCTTCTATAACATGACAGAAGTTAGTCTGAATGATTCATGTCCTACACAACTTTTGGACTTCCAGGAAGTATCAGGTTAGGATAAATCCAATTGTTTTGGTTGGGAGACATGTAGCTGGAAGTTCAGCTGTGAGCACCGCAAGCCCTCTTTCCTGTGGTCAACTTTGTAAAATCGAGACAATTCTGTACATAGTAATACTGTACATAATGTTAAACAAGATCCCATTTGGCCTTTTCTCACCTGAGGTTTTTTTTTTTTCCTTGGTGGTCCTGGGGATTGAACTCAGGGCTTTCACACTGAGCTACATCCCTGACCCCACTTTTGAGACAAGATCTTGCTTGAATTTGCCCCACAGTGCTGCCATTACAGGTGTGCATCACACCTGGCTTCGCCCAGCCAGTTTACCAGTCCAGATTAATTGAGGGAAATGCTCAGAAGTCTCATTCCTTGCTAGGTATTACAGCGTGGTTTAGGTCAGGGACTCAAAGTAAGGTACTCCTAGATAAGGAATGATTAAGAGGAAAGTGACTTAGGGCATCAGTACCTAGTCACCTGTCTTCACTGAGGCTTCTGACCAGCCAGTCCCACCCAGTAGGGTGGCTCATAAATGATGGAACAAAGCCTCCCGAATAATGAAGAAAGTAGCCTCCCTGGATCTGAACTGGGAAAAAGAAAAATGCAATTTTTCTCCCTAGGGCTAGGGATTAAACCCAGGATTTACACTGAGCTACACCCCCAGCCAAAAGCAGAACCACTTTTAGTCATCCTGTCCTCAGAAACAGAGGGAAAAAACATTGATAAAAGAAGGGAAAAAAAGGAAACAAAGCTTTTGTAAGGGGGGTGGGTTGAAGGGAGAGAAGGCGAATGGGAGAAAAAGAGGAATCAAAATATATCATGTACAGGTACAAACTCTCTGATGAATGTGATAGTTATGTATATTTAAATTGTACCAATAAAATTAATTTTTTAAAAATAGAAGCAATAGGTAACCTGCATTACCAGAAGGGCTACATGGGAGCGGAAGGCAGCTTCACAGGCCTGTCACTGAGGACACTGTGAGGACCAGACTCTGATTCAGGGCAGGATGCAAACTTTAAGACCAACACTCAGCAGAAGCCACTGCTCCTTGTGGTCTGTCTTCCCAAACAGAAGGCACAGTTCCTTCACATCTTAGCCCTCAGCTGATCAGCAATCACCAGGTAGCATTCTGAGGCTATTTAGAAGTGCTTCTCACAATTTAGAATCAGAATATCCAGCTGGGAGCCCCAAGCACTGGAATTTTAAGTCTTTAGTGAATGTCAACAGATGAGGAATGGAGTAAGCATGAAGGAGCTGAGCATCCCCGGGGAAGCCTCTTCCCACCCCAGTGTTCTTCTTACAGGGTAGGAGCCGCTATTCCCCTGCTCAAATTCCACCTCCCGATAAGAAGCCACATCCCCATATTTTAAGAATAAGCAATTAATTTGAATGATGGTTGCACGTAGGCTTAAAAAGGTCAAAGGATGCTGATCTGCGTTAAGTCCTAAAGCCTGGCTGCCTTTATGAAGAATTTGAAACATAAAAATTTCATAGATGACACATCCTCCTGCACTTCCAGCATAAACATATTCCGACAAATCTTACTGCAAACACACAACCACATGCAACTTGGCAGCACAGCAAGTGGCCTTTATTTTTAATATTTGTAGAAAACTGACTTAGACTTCAAAATTCATTGCAAAATTTTAGTACATGTGCTGTCGAAGCGAGTACTCATTGCAAATTACCAGTAGCAGTTTTAAGCATTTCAACCATGCTGACAGATTCCACTCTGCTGGCACAAACAAGGCCAGTATTCTTGTGTTCAAAACCAAGATTTATCCCAAGGATCAATTCCATCTGCCTCACTACTCAGGACCCATTTGTGACTATGTCTTCTTCCATCTCCTCTTCACCATCATCAGCGGGACCTGAAGAAAACCAAGAACCACAAATTACATCAGTTCTAGAGTCTGTGCAGCAGGCAGGTGCCCCTTCTGGGGGTCCTATGTGCCAGACAATGCACAGGTACAAAAAAACCAAAGCGGCCTCTGTCCTCAAGGGTCTTATAATCCAGGGACAGTCTGTCTGTGGCAGGTACTAGAGAGGGTGGTCAATTTCCGAGGAAAAGAAAGGTGTCTTAACAAAGTAAAAGTAACTGCCTCTCGTCATAGTTGCTGCCTATTTATCTTCTGTGAAGACAAAAATTAGAAATACCAAAACAAAACAGAACATAGTCATGCACCTAATACATGCCAGGCAGTGATTAAAATCAGTGACTCACTCTATTGTCACTAAATTAAGGCAACACAGCAACAATAACCAAAAGGTTCAGTTTCATTTGTTCAACAATTTAAAGCACCTGCCTTGCAAGCGCAAGGACCTGAGTTCAATCCCCGGTACCCACCCACCCAAAAAAACAAAACTAAACAAAACAATTTAAAGCAGGTTTTCTGGTCAATGTATTTTGAAAACGGACATGTTTTTACCCTATCAATTGTTAAGTGTTTTACTTGTATAGTTAGGTCCAAACTTCAGGTTTCTAGATACAAAGCTACTAAGAAGGAATGCCTTTGTTAGTATATTCAGAAGCCTAGGCCTAATGAGATTCTAGAAAATACAGTACTATGACTGATGTCCTAATTTCTTAATCCCAAATGTACAGAGACTCTGAAGGCCCAAATAAAACATCCTGAAGGAAGGAGAGTAGTCCAGTACAGTAAGTCTCCAACTTACGAACTAGGTCTGTTCTGGGAGGATGTTCATATGTCAGATTTGTTCCTATCTGACAAAGTGAGTCTTATATAGTATACCTGTGAAAGTTCGTAACTCAAATGCTCCTAAGTCGGGGGCTTACTGTAATTCTACCCTACTGTAGTCACAATGGCAGTATTTTTTTTTTTTTTTTTTTTGAGACAGGGTCTCACTATGTAGTTGAGACTGACCTGAACTCACCATGTAGCCCAGGCTGGTCTCGAACTCACAGTGACCCTGCCTCAGCCTCCCGGGTGCTCGGATTACGGGCGTGCACCACCACACCTGGCCCACAATGGCAGTATTGATGTTGCACACTTCCCAACCCCGAAAACCTGGACTGATTTCTAGTGCTGCCTAATCCATCACAAAGCCACGTGGGTGCTGCCATCTCATCTGGCCACAATGTCCCCACGATGCAGGCCTCGTTTTCTGGCCCTCTCTCAGCTCAAGAGTGCCTATGCAGGCGTTTTGCTGTGCAGTTCTCGCTGCCTGAAACCCCTGCCGGCTGCATCTACTTTAGCACCTTTCAAACTACTAGGCTTGAGGGCTGCATGTTAACTGTATTTATCGATCCTGTATTAGAAACTAAAACTGGAAAATTTTAAAGAAAGTAACTCATGAAGACAATAAATCCATTACATACTGAGATTTACATTTTAACAAAAAGTGGAACTTTCTAAGACAGCATTGAGTGAAAAGATTGACAACACTTTATACATTTTTTCTTGGTGGTAGTGGCAATTAAACCCGGGGAGATCTGTACTGCACTGAACTACATTCTCCTACTTTTTGAGACAGGGTCTCGAAAGGTTGCCCAGGCTGGCCTTGAACTTTGATTCTTCTGTCTCTGATTCTTGAGGAGCTGGGATTTTATCATGTGCCACCATAGCCATCTAAAAGCCTCAAATAATTTTTCATACTCTTTTACTTGAAAAATCCAGTGGTCCATCCAGTACTTTGAATGGATCTTTTTACCCATGCATGATTTTCTAACACCAAATGGAAAAGAGTGGTTCAAGGGTTTTCAGATCTCCCAAAGTTGAGCAATTTCATGACACAATGTCAACCCCCCATTCAATAATGTCCCCAACTTACAAAGTTTTTTAAGTACTAAGTAAGTAGCTGACATCAGTTTTCCAAGTTTTAAGTTTTGCTTGGAACCTTGAATTTTACCCCCGAATACACAGTCAGTCATCTTCCTTGAGGCAGCAGACTCACTTCATTCATGTCTGAGGGTACGTTATCTCTCACCGCAAAGCAGCTGCGTAACCAAACAATTCAGGCCTGTAGAAGTTTCATGTGTACCCATTTGCCACCCAAAATATCAGACAGAAGAGTACTGAAGCGGTGGTATCTAGTAGTTATTTTGCTTTGCTGAGGACTGATTTCAGACATCATACATGTTAGGCAAGGGCTTTACCCCAGGCCACGTCCTCAGCCCCTAATCATCCTCTAGGACATTCTTTTTTATTTGGTACCTCGGATCGACCTTGGGACCTTGTGCTTGAGAAGCAGGTGGCACCACTGAGCTAAATCCTTGACCCTTTAGGACACTCTTAAGTGCAACTGGTATACATTTTAGTGGGAGTGGATAGCAAGGAAGGCTACATTAACTGCCATCACTAGTACTGCAACCTTGCTGAGGCACCAGCAGTTTTACCCACCATTGTTCTTGCTCCATCAGTGCACACACTGCTGTAATAAGAAAAATGTCTTGGTGTCGTTACAGGAATAGTTTTGATCACACAGAGCCCCAGAAGTCCAGGGACCATTGAGAATCATACATTAAAAGCTAACTTACTCATTTTAGCTCTCAGCTGAAACAGTATTTGCCTAGGAAACTTTCCCTGAGCCATCAGTCTAGGTAGACGTCTGATGCTCACATGCAGTAGCAGAACAGTCAACAATTTGTTTTATTTTTGGTTTTTTGAGACAAGACCTTGCTTTGTAGTTCAGGCTAGCCCGAACTCACTACGCAGCCCGGATTGGCCTGGAACTTGCGGCAATCCTCCTGTCTCAGCCTTCTGAGTGCTAAGATTACAGGCATGTGCCACCATACCTGGCTTAGAATAGTTCACAACTTAAAAACAAGATCCTGTGCTAAGTACAATATCTCAGTTCTTCCAACAACCTTTAGAGGCCAGTATTAGTATCATCTCAGATTTACGGATGAGTAAGTAGACTTGGAAATACTTGGCCAAGGACAGATCTGAGGAGGCTGAGATCTGTGTGTTGGGTTGTTTGCACAGAGGACCTGTATTCCTAACCTTGCTTAGAGACAGGAAATGTTCTGAGAACCGTATCACTGGGCGATTTTGTCACTGTAAAAGCAGAAGTACCAGAAAGCATAGGAGATGCCCAGTGCTACCAGGCTACAAGTGGCACAGGCTTCTTGATTCCATAATTTGGCTATACTGTTTTATATCAGGAGTCACACCAAGGCCATGCATGACTCAAACAGGCATGTCAGCTAGCAGAGACGGGCTGGCGTTGCTCCTTTGCTAATGGCTGTCATTGGGGCCTAAGTCCTGGTCTGTGAAGGGGCTGGGCTCTGCTGAGTTATGTACAGCTGAGGTCAGTGTGACCCCAATTAAAATCCTTTCCCCCGAATTATGGCTTCTCACTGACCTTGTGGGTTGCTCGCTAATTGTGCCTGGTCCCAGTACCAGTTTCATCTATTCTAGCAAGATAAGCGTGCTGACGCTCTGACAGCTCTGCCTGGCACCATCATGCCAGATGTTTGGCAGTAATTAACTAGATGACCTCAAAGCTCCCTATTCCTTCCACCACTACATTCAGTAAATACTGGCTGTATTGGAGGCCTTTGTCTTTGCTGCCGTTAGCAGCACTGACCAGGATCCAAGACTCAGCTTCTCCATCTAAATCTCGTTTCTATCTGTTCTTAAATTCACCTTGAGCTGTGGTGGCTCACAGCCAGGACTCACAGCAGAGGTCCTGATAATGGTCCCCTACCCCACTCCTTACAAGAAATTATACTTACATATATCTAGATCATACAGCTGTGTAATAGAGCCTATTGTTCCTAGATTACCATACTGAATATTGTAGGCAAGTGTAACCCAACAGCAGAGGTGCAGTTAAAAAAAAAACAAAAAAAAACACTAGGTAATAGGAAATTTTCAGCCTTATTATAACTTGTGGGACCACTGTTAAATATGTAACTGACATTAACCAAAATGTTGTCATGAGGTGCATGGCTGTATATAAAAATAAAAGTCCACATGGTTATCTTTGGAGTTTGGTTCACTTGATGCTACCAAATAAATCTACTTTAACTTTACCATACTTCCCCTTCCCCCACACCCCTAAAGTCCTAATGAAATACTTTCTTTTAGCATTTTATTTATTTTTTGCAGTCTCAAGGATTAAATCCAGGATTTCTGTAATAAGCTAATTCTTAGCCCTTTATTTTTATTTTTTCCAGACTAGGTCTTTCTCAAGTTTCCAAGACTAAGCTCCTATTTTTGATTCTCTTGCCTCAGCATTGATAGGTAGCTGAGATTATAGGCATGTGCCTGCCTAGCCTCTTCTGGCATTCGTGGACTGTAGTTCATGAACTGTCTTGTAATTACTTCGAGTGTAACATTACTTTGGGAGCACAAAGACAGCACGATGTTTCCTGACCTGATCTGCGTTCTCTGCCAGGTATCTGACCAGACTGCAGCAAGCCCTTCAGCCTCTCCACTTCAGCCAGAGTGGATGCGTTTGCTATAGCATTCTGGAGGAGAGAGCAGAATGAAGACAGATAATTTCAATTAAGTATCAACCACCCAGAAAATACAGAAGTTCGTAACAACTTTTAGAGTTAGAACATTACATAGTTCTGTGTTGGAGGAAGAATTTTAATGGTACACCGAACCAACCTAGAAATCAAATCTTAAATTTCCAAAATTGGTGAAGAAATACAGGCCCTCTTATAAAACAAGATAACAAGTAATCATTCCACTTGTCCTAAAATTTAAGCTTACTATTTATATGGAATTATATTACTGGATACTTTAGCAGGCAATATTATAAAATCAGGGTTTTTCCACTATCATCCCAAAAGATTTATCAGACTGCACATCTGTGAAATAACAACTACGGCACACTGTGAGACAACATACCAAGGTAACTGACTACTGAAAATGATAAATGAACCCAGGAAAATAAAAAAGACAAAGGAGCTATTTCAATTGGCACACGCAACCCAATTCAAGTTGAAGTCCTAATCCCACGTCATCTCTAACCAGTCTAGAATTATTACCTTGATTGCTTCTACATCCCCTGGAGATGGCCCACCTTTCTTTTTGTCAGCTGGTAACCCAGCACCTGGATTAAAACTTGGAAGGAAAAGAATATAGCTGTTAAATTCTCACCCATAAACGTTGCTTCTCTCTTACTTTCAAAAGCTTTTGAAAGTAATTAAACCAGTGTAGTATCTTATCTTTGTTAACAAACTGATACAAGAACTCTCTCCTTCAGAAACACCACCCACTTCATCTTCCTACAGAGAACAGAACATATAAAACATCACATTAAGACTGAGGTATTTGTTCTCTGGACTTAGCAGAAATTTCTGTGTGATGTGTGGACCATGGATGGCCACAGATTATCAGCACGCTAATTTAATACCACATTAATCACAGTTTTTGGTTTAATTTTGTAGGAAGCAAACTGCCAGACAGTGTTTCTGAAGTGAAGCGGAGTTAAGTTGGATTTCTGTATCTTACGTTTTGCTCCTCCTGGCAATATCCTTTGCAAGCTGTGCACCCCGTTTGCCCTTGAACATTTTCTCTGCTTCCTGACGCTCCTACAGCGACACCACACACAGAGTTAATGGAAATAGGAATACCACATGCATTTAGATGCATTCCTCAGAACACATGGAAGAGAATGCTCCTAAAGTACTCTGGGCTGGTAAAAATACCAAAAAGCCAATTTAAAATTAAAAGGAGACACAGTAGTTTTGCCTTTGCTGGTGAAGCTTTTAAAAGTTCCTCCTCGCCTGTAAGAGCTACCAAGAACTAAAGAGGGGGAAGGGAAACCTCCTAATAACAGGAAAAGTCATCATAATGGCCAGAGCTGCTAAAAAATGGATCATACTAAGCTCCTCACTGGTAAAGTAAGCAGACAATCCATTGTGTGGCTCTCCAACATCCTGCCAACTTTGCATGACCAACATTACATAAAATAATGTTAATTCAAAGCCCTACAATAAACTCTGCCATGAAGACAAAAAGCATTTTCTTTCCCACATTTTAAATTACAAACTAATAGTAAAATACATTCTATTAGTCAATTCAAAAAAACAGTTAACAAAAGTATAAAGGAAAACATAGAACTCTGTAATGACTTACAACCAAAGAACACTTACTTTTAGTTTTACTTTCTGAAAATCCAGTACTCTGACTTGTGGAACTTTATAAATCACATACAGTCTGTAATGCTTCTTATTTGTTACGGGATTTCTTAGAATGCTACAAGAAAAGGAACAACACAATGTCACTTTTGTTCGTGGCATGGCACCGAAGACATTAATCTAAGTGGCATTAAGTGTATTAATCAATGGAAAGTATACTATTACTCACGTCTCAATATGTCAATTTAGGTAACATGAAGAAAATAGCTTCAATTTTTAAAATTTTATTAAAAGAAAAAAATTTTATAGCATTTCACTAGATAGCCCAGGCTGGCCTGGAACTCATGGTGATTGATCCTCCTGCTTCTGTCTCCCCAGTGGTAGGATCGCAGGCATTAACTACCATGCCTGGCTTCAGTATTTGTTTCTAAACATATTTTCTTCAGTATTTGTTTCAATGAATGCTTTAAGGCTGGTAACAGTGATATTTTAAAGACTTCATTAATTTTGCCATTATAACAAATAGTTTCCATACCTTAGGTAAGTCAGTGATTTGAGAGATGCCAAAGGGTCCAAATCACCCTGTAAAATAATGACCACAGGTAAGAATGCTGTGTGTAATCTATTTTGATATATTGAAATAGAGAATCTTTGGAGTAAGTATCCACATTGTCTTTTATTTTTTATTGCACTAGCACCTAGCCCAATATTAGCACTCACAGATGCTTTAACAATTTTGACTGAATAAATTGATGAATACATTTCATCTTCTTAAAAATCTTGGCATTAGCAACTTTTGTCTCAACATCAGAAGATAAAAAATATTAATTTCCAATGGCATCTCAAAATGGGTTACTGAGTAATAATTCAGGGAGGAAAACAATGCCAGAGCTGATATGAGTTTCTCTATGTAGGGAACATCAAGCCAGGATCTTGGGTGTAACATGGTCTTTCTTGCTACACCCTCCCAATCACCCAGGAACAGTCTTTGAGACAGGGTTATCTTTATAATAGCCCCCACAAAATCTCTTCAAATAATTTTTCAAAGACAAGGTGAATCGTATAGCTAAAAAACAGGTGAGAGTCAAGATATGTGATGTACAGGTACAAATTCCCTATGATGTGATTATTATGTACACCTAAAATGTATACTAGTAAACTTTAAAACAACAACAACAACAAAACCAGAAACTAAATTATGGGAAGAAGGCTGGATAGGTTTTAATCTTCCCAAATTGTCCATACTCCATAGTGCAACAAGGATACAAAATCTAAAACCTATGGTCGGTATCTATTACCAAACTAAATGACAAGATATTTCCTAAAAATCCTATAATGGTAATAAGTGGGGACACCACTGTAAAAATACAAGACTGCATGGCAACAACATTTGTGCAGGAAAAATCAGAGGGAAGGCAAAGAGGCATCTGATGAACTGGAAAACTCCAATCAACCTACAGGTATTCCATTTGAGAACAGCAACCCAAACACCTGCATATTCTAATAAAGAGCACAATAAATAAATCTGTGAGAAGGGCTGATAGCATTACAACAATAAGGACCCTCATTCAACACTAACCAGAAATTGTGTCCGTGCCAGGACAAAACACTACATTGAGGAAAACACTGCTAAGAACAGATCTCATTGAGTAGATAGGGCCAAGATACAAAAACAAAAGCGAAAAAACCAGGCAAAGCAGCAAGTGGCTCACTTCCACAGCACATATACTGAAATGGGAAGGATACAGAGATTAGTATGGTCCTGAGCAAGGACGGTACAGTTTGTGAAGTTGTTAAGCTGCCCAGGGCAGACATGAACTTGCAATCTTCCTGCCTCAGGCTCCCACAGTGCTAGGATTATACACATGCACAACCAAGCCTGCTTATGATATGAAATTTTATATATCTCTTTCATTAACTGATCAGAACAGCAGTCTTCATCTTTGTGAAGAGTTTTAAATACAACTACAATTTCTCTAACATCACCAATCATGTTACACATTCCCTATCAATGTGTATTTTGGGTTAAATATGTCATACAAAAGTTATGCGAAAGGACCCATAGCCTCAGACTAGTACCTTCTTACTTTTGCAGTCAAACACTCCTTCAAGAATCTGACAATGCTATGAACCCTGCCCACCAAGAAGGGAAATGCAGTTCATTCTAAATAATGAGGAAAGTAGAGAAGGAAGGTAAAGTCTTAATAACCTAAAATCAAATTGTGCAGTACAGATTTAAAACAAAATATTTAATATTTAAAACAATATATTTCAAACAGAATATACAGTATGAACTCAATTTTGTTAAAATTAGACATACAGAGCAAAAGCTTTAAGAGCTTAAAACAGGTCAAAATAATCATTATCTATACAGTGAAAACTGAAACGTGCCCCTTCTCTCATACAGAAATTAGTTTCAGATGGACTGCTCACCTAATGTGAAAAGTAAAACAATAAAGTTTCTACAATAGAAATTTCATGCATGTAATTTAAAATTATGCAATTTAAAATTTCTAATAGCCACATTAAAAGTAAAACTAATTTTAATATATTATTTAACCTATTACTCCAAATATTATCATTTCAACATCAATATTAAAAAGTGACTAACACAGTATTTTAAAAAATTCCAGGTCAATCCAACGTGAATTTTACAGTTCTGCATATCTCAACTGAGCAGAGCCACTTATGTCTAGTACTGAACACTGCAATTCTAGAAAGCAACACGAGTTTCTTTAGTCAGGGGAGGAAAAAGGAAGCTTCAACAAAACATCAAAAGCACTACGATAAAGACTGGTAATTAGAAACTACTTAAGGTTTGTGCAGCATATGAGAGGCCCCCAGTTCAATCCCCAGTAAATACACACACAAACCACTCACCAAAACAAAACCCACAGGTCCAGATTTTGTAATAATTAAGAAAAAGATAGAGAAAGGATGAGATAATTCTTGGGATCTTTGCAGGTACTACCTTTAACCTCACCCCCAGACAGAAATTTCCTTTTAATCAACTTACCAGTTCCACAAGACTGTTGTTGGTGAGAACGAGTTCTGTGAGACACGGCAGAGCCTGATCAAGTCCCTCACCTATTCGGCTAAAATAAAAACAGAAAGGCTGTTGTTAGTGAAAGCAGAAAATAAGCTAACACTTTTATCTCAGTCATTGCTCACAGGTTATAACCAGCAGGGCAAAATGGAATTTTAAACGCGAGAATTTTTCTTTTAGAGACAAGCTGCTTCTCCAAACTTCTGCAGGCAGAGGACCTGTAGCCCACCTCTCCTCTTCTACAATTCAAATAGAATACGCAGATAATGGTTCCAGGGGGTCTGGTCGAGGGGAGGGAGGGAACAGAAAAGGGCCAGAAGGGATGAATAAATGCAGAGCTGTCTACTGTCACATCCTATTTCCACTCCCTTCCCTTGCTTACTATAAAGGTCCTGTACATCTGGATACAGTGAGATAAAGGTAGGTAGCAGCATGAGGCTTCCACTTCTTCACCACTAGCTGTGAACAAAGCCTTTTCTTTCCATCAAGCCTCCTGTGGTTTGTTTGGGATCAGGAGCAAATGGCTGCTCAGGTAATAAGATCTCAAAGTTGAAAGACCTTAGCAATTCTTCTTACATATCCTACGTTGAAGATAGGAAACGAGGCACAAAGAAGCCTTGTCTGTGGCCACAGTCACTGGCATACGCAGATGATTTTAGATCCCATGCTTCCTGGATGCTGCCTGACCTTTTTCCACTGCCACAATGTCTGGTGGAAACTAAGAAAAGGTGAGATTCTTGGCTTTATAATTTTGTTCAGGAAGCACAGAAATACAAGTGATTTTGCATGCACAGATCATGTGCAAGACATAATTATGACAGAGAGGGTAGTTAACCTATGAAAAATAGCACAAGGATTGCTCTGCATTCAAGGCCAGCCTGGGCTGCATAGTGAGTTCAAGTCCAGGATGAACTACATAGCGAGACCCTGTCTCACACACACACACACAAAAAGCCAAATATTTTTGTCTAGATATTATATATAAACTTCAATCATTTTTCCAATAACATTTATGTAGGGCTGATGAGAGGGTCAATAAAGGTCTCATTTTCAGTAAGTTACACTCTGTAAATCAGTTTTAAAAACAAACAGGCATGAGGTACAGATATTCAGTGAAGATATATTTTATATATACTTTTAATATGATCTGATAATTGCTTCAGAAGCCAAAATCAAATCAGAAATGCAACGATACACAAATATAGATTTCCCTTTCCTTCCCCTTTCCTTTCTTTTTCTCTTTTTTTGGTCCCGGGGATCGAACTCTGATCCTTCTGCTTTGAGAGGCAGGCAGAACCACTGAGCTAAATCCCTGGCCCACAAATACAGATTTGAGTACATGCAAATAAGACTAAATAAGGTCAAAATACTCTGGATTAGTATGGAGAAAGTATTATTCATTTCTCGTCTTAAGAAGAAACACGTAGGCTGAATTGGCAGTATGCTCAACAACTTTTTCAAGGCACACTGCAATATTTACTCAAGGTTTAAAAAAAAATCATTCTCCAACAGCAGGCACTTACCATATTCTGTTGTTGTTCACTAATAATGTTTTCAGTCGCCTCAACAAAGGAAAACCATCTAGTTTCCTGATCTCATTGTCAGAAAAATCAATAGCATCAAACTGGTCTAAGGTAGCACCTAGATTTTCAATGACGGGAATTTTATATCCTGTAAAACATTAATAATATAATTTGAACAGTTATATTACTTCATGGTAATTTGATTCAAAGCTTTCATTTATTAAGGAAGCATTTACCTGTCACCTATGCAAGTCAAACACAGAACAGTGTAAGCCGCTGAAGATAAATGACAAAGTAAGAATCACAAGTCCCCAGTTGACTGATGCTTAGGGTACAGTAGTGGACTGACCTGAAGACGCTGAGGACAAGTACAAAGGCAAGAAGACAGGAGTACTAATCAATAGTATCGGTAGCTAACATTTATAAGAACATTCAAAGGTGTTTCATACTATTCTCAGACCTTAGAGCTAGCGAAGCAGCACACTAGGAATCAACACTTGAGGCATTGGGGACAACAGTTCTCCACTTCCTGCATTTCCATCAGCCAGATTCACTGCACTCCTCAGCAGACCCCATGACAACAGGACTGTTTTGCTTACTTCTCCCCCAACAGCTCCATTTCAGAGTTCCAGGGCAGTGGTTTACACGCTGTAGGTCACACATGAGCAATTTATTCAAATACTAATTTGCCTAATCTGGGCATAAATTAATGCCCAAATAACTGCCTAAAAGAAGTAACGAACCCAGGAACGGTTAAAGTACATAAACTCAAAGCTGTATGGACTGCATCAAAATAAATACTGCAACAAGTATGACCTGACTAGCTTTAGATATTCTCAAGGCTGCATACACTCGAGACAGAAGAGGAAGAGATGGATGTGTGCTAAGCCAGAGAGGCAAGATGCTCTTGAATTGGACGTTTCTGAGAAACTAGTTCAACAAAATAAAAGCACTGGGCTTTCCCAAAAGTCAGCAAGGCATCTTAACAGAAAACAGAGGCCACAGCAGTGGTCTGAGACTGGTCACCTCAGACTAGGCCAGATGAAATAATATTATCCCAGAGACACTGCTCTTAACGGCCTTTCTAAAGTTGTCTCCTGAAAATACTAAGCAGCTAGCTGCACTCAATTTTTTAAAATTATTATTTTAGCCAAATCTCACTACAGTCACAGTAACTACAGAAACTGGCTGGGCATGGGAACACACGCCTGTAATCCCTGTTCTAGGGAGGGTGAGGCAGGACTGCCTTGAGTTCGAGGCCAGCCTGGGCGACACAGGGAGACCCTGTCTCAAAAAGCTTAAACAAACAAATAAGCCTACAGGGACCTGACTAGCTGAGTGTTTCGACCACTTAGCGCATGGAAGAGACAACACAAGCCTTAGTGAAACAGTTCAATCTTGAAACGTCTTCATAAAAAATAAATACCGGGGCCGGGGATCTGCTGCTCAGTGGTTCCGCTGCCTGCCTCGCATGTATAAGGTCCAGAGTTCGATCCTCGGCCCAAATACACGCACACACAAAACCACCGAAGGTAAGAACATGTTCAGGCGGGAAACAGCCGCTTTTATTCCGAGACTCAGTATCTTCCCTCACAAAGAGTTAACATTTATCTGCACTCGCACCAGCGTACTAACACTCACTAAGGTCCAGCCGGTCGCCTGCACTCGAGTCATACACACGAATAAGGCCAGTCTGCGGGTTCTAAAACACGTGGGACCTCGGGACGGGCCAACTCGGCCGGCAGAGTCTGGGCCAGAAAGTAACCAAAACAGCCGTCTGAGTAGCAGCGGGGTAACCGAAGGCTCCGACGAGGGTATTGGGACGGATGTGGAGCAACAAAGAGAAGAATCAGGCCGGGCGGCTGCGCCTCGG